ATGCGAGGTGCGGCGATTGGGTGCTCCGTATAGCGATCCCGAAAAAGGGGATCGCTATACGGATTCGTCGTTATACGGTGCGCTCGCTAAGCGAGGCACCACTGTATATACTGGGACACAATTGATCTGCATATTCCAACACTGTCACTTCAGCTCTCATCCACTTGCGCAGTACCGTGGTTCAGCTCAGCTCGGAGCCGGCTGGAGCTCCAGAGGCAGCCGCGAACCTTCAGAAGCTGGAACAAAGAGGTGAGCAAAGGTGTTACTGGAGCCACTGTTGGAGACATGCCTGCCCATTGTCCCCCACTGCCACGGGACACTTGAGAAGGGAGTGGTTAGTTGGAGAAGGGAGAGTTGTTGCCCGGCGCTGTTAGGGAAGGCGGGGAGGAGGGGGCGGGGCGGGAAAAGTCCTAGAGTCCAGACTGGGCCGGATAAAAAGGCAAGGTGGGCCAGATGTGGCCCATGGGTGGCAGTTTGGAGACCCCTGATGTAAAGCAACCATAAACACATGAAAAAACCTAGAACTCCTATTTATGAGAAAAATTCTACAGTACTATCTACACAATATACGTAGACGTAAAATGTAAAAATTTAAATATCTTTGAAACAGTAGCAAATCAGTTTTTTTAATAGTCATATTAGAATTCAGCACATCAAAATACATAATAGCACATTGTATCTCTGAAGAATATCACCTCTAAAAATTGCAGACCAGTGTTACTTGTACAGTACATCTGTTATATTTCTAGTGCAGCATATAGATTCTCAATAAATAAACAGCCATAAATCATGAAACATTGGAAAATCTCAGATGCCTTCATGTGCAAGGATGCAAAGAAAATGAAAGGATTCAGAAGGATTCACTTTAACTGCTGTAGGGTCTCAGACAGAGCAACATAAGGTTTATAACATGGAAAAGTACTTTAATACTTTGAATTAATGTATTCAGGTTGCAAATTTAGTTGTTACACAAATGTCTTTTCAAGGAGAAAATCAATGTCCAAAAGCAATTTGTGATATAGCATCAGGATCTGTTTTTCAAAGAAGCTACTGCCAAAAGCAATTTGTGATATAGCATCAGGATCTGTTTTTCAAAGAAGCATCCTGGCTCCGTTGCTCTTTAACTTATATGTCAATGACATGGTGGATAGGTTAATGGGACTACATTTCTTTCCCACAAGAGTAGGTAGAAAAGGTATTTCAATATTACTTTATGTAGATGATACCCTGTTAATATCTCATACTCAAATAAGACTTAGAAGATTATTGAAAAAATTTAGTAACTATTGTATGGAAAATTTCCTTAATATCAACTATGAGAAAACCAAAATTACGGTTTTCAGCAGAAGACCTCAGATGCATAAATGGTCAATGGATGGGAGAATATTAGAACAGGTAACTCATTATAAATATTTGGGTGTGATGTTCCACCAGTCAGGCTCCTGGGCGGCTCAGATTGACTTTGCAAAGCAGAAATTTGAAAAAGCTATGCTTGGTTGTGAGGGTTCGGGGTGTGGCTCCGGTTTGTCTTCAAATAAATTGACAGACTTCCTCGGTTTAGAAATTGGTATAACATTTATTGGATTGTTTAACCTGTGTCAATGAAGGTATTCCAACCATTTCCTCCCTCTAACAACTGGTTAGATGGGGGCTTCCAGCCTTCAATTTTAAAGCAGTTACAACCCTGAACATTCCAGGGACCCGGCCAGTCCAGTGTAAAGTCTGTGTTCAGTAATTCTCCTGTCTTCCCTTCCAGTAAGGGGACTGTGTCTTCATCCCGATCATCTGTCCAAACCTGGTCTCTTGAGGGGAAATCCTCCAGCCATAGTCTTCTGAGGGACCCCTCCATTGTAGCTCCATCATCCGCCATTCCAATCTTTCTCTCCTCTCCCTCTCCACCTTTTCCTTCTCTTCCCTTAACTTCCTTCTCCACTCTTTTGTCTCTCATTCCCCCCAATAAGATGGTTTAGAGGTGCTCTCTTTCTAGCATCTGCCTCCTCTTTTAGGACCCTTAGTTTTTCTACCTTCCCCGTCCATAGATCTTCCAATCAAATCCACTCCCAACCACGAGGCAGGTTCCCGTTCCTGTCCCCCCTCTTTATATCCACAAGCCCCACCTCCACCTCTACCAGGGCTGTCATTACATTTCCGCCAAAACATTCCCGCTTTCTTTAACAGTCATTTCTTTCAACTTCTCTTCTACGATTCCCGGGTCTGTTTCGGGTGGTCTTATCTGCCTGGGAGGTAATCTTGTTCTTCCTTGTTGGCAGAGGGCAGAGGGCAGGAGGGAGGGCACTCCTGTGAGAGAAATCTTGCTCTCACCATCAGTCTTACCTTGATATACTTAGATTCTATAGAATTAAAGGAGGGCATTTGGTCCCCCCCATTCATAAAATTTACAAAATCAAGCTACTTCCCCAGATCCTATATGGCGCTGAAATATGGGGAACTGGAAACCTAACCTCCCTAGAAATAATTCAAAATAAATTTGCTCGATTACTCCTGGTAGTCCCCCATTCAACAACCTCAGCATTTCTTAGATTAGAACTGGTATAAGTCAATGTCAATAATGACATTAGTCTATAAGCTAATAACTAATTACTGGCTGAAAATTTTGTTCATCACCCAGTCAGAATTTTTAATAGCATCATATGGAGAGAATTTTTTTTTGATCGTGGAAACTTTTTGCACTGCCACTAGTTGCTAAACTTGAATTCTCCGAAGAGTATGTGAGACACCTTGGCCTACCCGCTGCAAAACGTTTACTGAAACAGAGATTGTCCGACCACTGGGTTCAAATCGATTTAGATTTGTTAGGCACCCTAAAAAGAGCCCCTTTATATAAGAACATTTTACTCTTGCCTTTAAATCTTCCATCTTATTTTAACTGATTTAATGAGTTTTTATTATAGAAAAGCTTTTACTCAGGCACATTTTGACGGGTTACCACTAGCCAGTTTATTAGGACGCTATACACAAATTCCATATCACAAGAGATTTTGCTCTTGTAACAAAAAAATCAGTGGAGAATTTGGCACATGTAGTGCTCTATTGTCCACTATTAGAGACCTATCGCAAAAGATTTCTCAACCCTATTTTTCAAAAACATTCTAGTAATTCTGAACAATAAAAGCTTAAAATCCTACTATCTGACAGAGACAAATTTGTCACTTTCCAAATGGCACGGTTTATCTCCACATTGTTAAAAATGAAAGCTGTATCCACCGCCTCTATCAATTAAGTCAATACAGTGGTGCCTCACATAGCGAGGTTAATCCGTTCCTGATTAACCTTCGCTATGCTGAAGCATCGTTGAACGGGGCAGGGAATTCCACTGGAACGCATTAAACATGGTTTAATGCGTTCCAAATGGGCCGAATACTCACCGTTCAGCGATGCTTCTTAATGGCCGGCAGCCATTTTCGCGCCCTCGCCTCGCTTAACGAGGGCGCGAAAACGCTGCGCGCGGCCATTTTGGGCCATTTCCGGGCTTCCGGCGGCCATTTTGGCCGCCAAACAGCTGATCGTCGGGCTTCGTTTTGCGAAGATCGGTAAGCGAAACGCTTACCGGTCTTCGCAAAGCGAATTTTGCTGTATTAGAAAAACGTTAAGCGATCGCATTAGCGATCCGAAAAAACGGATCGCTATGCGATTTCGTCGTTATATGGTCCGCTCGTTAAGCGAGGCACCACTGTACTTAAGTAATGGTATCTTTGGGGTTATTCCCCTTGCAATAAATGCTTGCTGCTGGTATTGGTTAATGTCTTCCATCTGCCTTTGCCCTCTCCTTGGTTGTTGAAACTTTATGCCATAATAGAAATCAACTTGATTCAATTCTAAATGGCTTTTAATATTGTATTGTATTATATTGTAATGGAATATATTATATTTATATTGTTTTATCTGCTGTATGTTGCAATGGCCTGTGTGCCACACAATAAACCTATTTTGCTTGCTACCTACCAAATCTAGAGTGTAAACAAGATCAGATTTCCTCCAACTGCCCAAAGGGAAATGTAGACTTAACTATAAACACCTTCAAATGGCCTCTTACTTGACAATTCCTAATATCCCTGGTAAAAATAGAGTAAATATGTGTGATTATAAGTGTTGGGGGAGGGGAACACATTGTATACAAATTATTTCCCAACACTAGTTCTAACAAAAATTAGTAAGAATTTAAATGTTTCATTCTAGTACAAACATTTCTCTCTCTTTTTTCAAAATTTAACTTTAGAATAAAGTTGGAAAGTTTTACCTACATCTTCCTGATTGCAATCAGCTGCAACTGGAAAACATTCAATTGATATGTCCATCTACACATCCAATTCATGCTGGGACATTTTGCCAGGTCTGCCCTTTTTTTGCAAAAGAAAATGGAAAGGTGACTTAAGCACAGTATGTATTAAATTATTACCGAAAACATTTAGCAGGAAAACATTAACAATGTTATTGAACCTTCCTCTGCTGGCTTCAGGGTCTCTGTAATTGTTTTTGCCAACCTATAAATTTCTAAGTAACAACAAAATTATTGTGATTTTTCTTACTAAATTATTCATACATTACAAAGCATGTATGTAACAAGGCCCATGAATCACAAAGCGCATAATGACCATATCTTAATGTCATATCCTCAAACAAGAATTCAAATAGATTTATGTATTTAAGTTAACTAAAGCACATTGTTTTTATAATGTTCATAATTCTGTCTGACATGCCCCCCCCAAAGAAAACTTCATATTTTCTTTCCTGAGAATGAGATATTTTTTAATACTGAATATTAAAATTTGAGGTTTTCCTTGAAGTGGAGGTGGGAAACCAAGATTTCCATTAACAATAGTTTAATATTACATTTTTCAGTTGGATTCAATTAGTGTTATTAGTATCACCCAAATAACCTTTCTGTAATTATCTAGCACAGAAGAACGTAACTGTGCTTAAAATGATGCCCACAATTAAACATGTACCAGAAAAAAGAAAAAAAGATTGCAATATTATATCTCACCAGCCTTTTTCTTATAGATGTATCACTAAACATTCATAGTATAAAAAACTAATACTGCTGACTGGAAAATGAACTTTACTTAACTGCAGTATAGTGCTGGAACATGTGTATTCAAGTTTTTGATTTGTTCAGAATTTCTCAAGAGATACGTAATAGTGATTTGATAAAGTCTAGAACTTTGAATCTCAAATACAGACTGAGTAGTTAGCAGTTAATCCATTTTAAGTTGACAGTGAGGTAACAGCAAAAACATAGTCCTGTATAATCTTTTAATCTCCTATATTTATTTGGCATAGGTTTGCATGGAATATAGCTTACTTTAGGTGCCACAAAAGTAGGGGGTGTGGTGGCGCTGCGGGCTAAACCACAGAAGCCTCTGTGCTGCAGGGTCAGAAGACCAGCAGTTGTAAGATCGAATCCACGCGACAGAGTGAGCTCCTGTCGCTTTGTCCCAGCTCCTTGCCTACCTAGCAGTTCTAAAGCATATACATAAATGCGAGAAGATAAATAGGTACCATCTCGGTGGGAAGGTAAAACGGCGTTCCCTAGTCAAGCTGGCCACATGACAATAGAAACTGTCTTCGGACAAGTGCTGGCTCTACTGCTTGAAAAACGGGATGAGCACCACCCCCTAGAGTCGGACATGACTGGACTAAAAATGTCAAGGGGAAAATTTAGGTGCCACCAGACTAAAAATGTCAAGGGGAACCTTTAGGTGCCACGAAAGTATTTGCTGTTTGGTACTAAACCCCTTTTATGATGCACATCTTAATGTTGTGAAATGGCTTGAGTGTGTCAGTGAAGCCAAGAGCAATGCTGTCAGGAGGCCAGACTCTATTACAAGCCTGAACTCCTAGCAGGATCATCCAAGGCAAAATGGGCACAGCTGAGACACCAGACTAAGATGCATCCACCTTCTTCATGGCAGATACTGGGCAGGAGTGTTAGTTGACACAGGCAAAGGAGGCAATAGTGATCACAATGAAGTTAACTGCACAGTAGTACTGCACAGAAGGTGGCAATCATAGAGTCATAACAACGTGAAGTCAGAAGGGGCCTACAAGGCCATCAAGTTCAGCCCCCTGCTCAATGCAGGAATACAATCAAAGCATATCTGCCAGGTGATTATCTACATTTTTCTTGGATGCCTCCGGTGCTGGAGCACTCACCAATTGCCGAGGTAACTGGTTCCACAGTCATACTGCTCTGGCTTCCTTTAACTTGAGCCCATTGTTGGGTGTCGTACACCCTGGGATGACCGAGAACGGATCCTGCCTTTCTTCTGTATCTTCATGACTACCTTTCAACTATTTGAAAAGTGCTATCATATCACCCATGAGTCTTCTTTTCTCAAGGCTAAACATGCCCAATTCTTTCAGCCTTTTCTCATAAGGCTTGGTTTCCAGCCCCCTGATCACCCTTGTCGCCCTCCTTGTCCCACTTTGTTGGCAGCCTTCTTAAATAGCTCCATTCAGAACTGGACACAGGAACTCGAGGTGAGGCCTAACCAGTGCTGAATAGAGGGGGACTAGCATCTCGTGGGATTTGGAGACTATACTGTACTTCTATTAATGCAGCCTAAAATAGCATTTGTCTTTTTTGTAGCCACATCGCACTGTTGGCTCATATTTAGCTTGTGATCTAGGACAATCCTTCTTGCTCATACTTTTACTGAGCCCGGTATTCCCCACCTTCTAACTGTGCAATTGGTTTCTTTTTCCAAGATGTACTTTGCACTTATCCCTGTTGAATTTCATTATGAATTTCATCTGATGCTGGAGGTGAGTTTTGCAGATATCCTTGACAGCCAGAAAGATAAGTGGCTCCTAGAGCAAATCAAGCCTATACTACCTCTGGAGGCAACAATGATGAAACGGAGACTGCCCTGCTTTCGACATGTTAGGAGAAGTTAAAACTCTCTCTGGAAAAGACAATAATGTTGGAAAAGGTTGAAAGTAGCTTGAAAAGAGGAAGACTAAATATGATATGGGTTAACTCTCTAAAAGAACCACAGGTTTACTTGAGTTTACAAGAGCTGCTCAAGACTGTTGTAAACAGGTCTTTTTGAAAATCTCTTATTCATAGGATCAACAATAGTTGGAGGCAACTTGATGGCATGTAACAACAACAACTTATCAAATACAAGTCTAATAATCAAAAGTTTATTGTTAAACGTTCGAAACATTATCCTGGCTAATTTATACTGTGCTTAGATTCATGCTTGGTGATACAATATATACACTTTGTCTTTATTCAGTTTCAGTCTTCTTCTGGACAGTTTCTGAACTTAAAATTTGGCAATATTTTTTGCTTGACAAAACCAAATAGTTGGAAACAAGAACAAAGTATACAAGGAAGAAAAAGCTAGTTGTATTTTTTATAGACAACAATACCTGCTCTGGTTGGTTTTATGCTCCCACTGAAGACAGAGGATCACAGTTTGGATGTGCTCCTGAATTTGTCCCTGAGCCTGGATATTGGCAGTAGCCAAGAGTCCATTTACAATTAAAACTAGTATGCCAGCTACTCCTGATCCCAGAGATATCTGATCTGGCAACACATGCATTAGTTAGATGCTATTTGGACTACTGCAACACACTCTATGTGGGGCTGCCTTTGGGAAGTGTCCCAAACACTGGCTTTGCTTTTTCAGGGCCTTAACTTAAAATGTGCTGGTTATAACTAAGGTTGGTTCTGGAATTAAAAGAATTTCCCACGAGACCTCAGAAATTGATCTTTATACAAACAAAGATGCTGAAGACCACTACCTATTGGCATTAATAGGCATTAATGCTTGCAGGACATTTCCATTAACACAAATACACAAAACATCCAACAAATTACTACCATTTGGATTAGCAAACAATACTCCATGGAACAAGGTTTATGTTAATAATGTTTCTTATTGTAGGGAAATCTCTAATGTAACAAATTTGTCAAACATACAAAGGTCTAAAAGTGAAATATAGTAATTAAGGCTTTCACTTTATTGATTGGACAGCTTAAGTAATTTTTCATTATTAGCATAAGATTTAATACATAAAAGTAGTTAAAGATTCTGCCTTGGCACTAGCCATTAGCATGTAATTGAACTAGTAAAAAAGACCAGTTTAACCTATGTTGATTACCACCTTATCTTTGAAAGGCAATTAAGGACCTCAATCATTGAACAAGATTTGATTGTGTGGCCTTTATTGGACATTGATCTTTCAGCAAAGTGGAGTTACATTTTCCATTAATTTACAGTAACACAGTTTAACTCTGATACCTTAGACTATTGACCTGGGTAGGATGTCAGACTAGGTACTTGTTTAGGTTAAAATGCTCCCACTAGTCATTACTGTTTAAAAAGAGATGCTGAAAAATGCAGATACTTATCAACAACGCGTAGACTAAGGTTGTAGACTAAGGTTTCAGTTATCGGCATTTGTTTCATTACATTTAACAAGAAGATTCCCAGCCTTTATTACTGTCCGCCAACCCCACCCCCCTTTAAACATCATCCCTGTGTAGAATGAAAGAGATAATTAAAGCAAGATGTACAAGGCAACTCCTATTGTGTTTCAAAAAGTGTAGAGCAGGTAATGTTTCCTGAAAAGTGAAGAGTCATTAAATGTTCCAGTTATTTTAATATGCAATAAAAAAAGTAAATTTTAGAAGTAGGTACAGTCATGTGAAAAAGAAAGTACACCCTCTTTGAATTACATATGGTTCCACATACCAGAACCGAATAAAAATCATCTGGTTCTTAGCAGGTCTGAAAATTAGGTATATACAAACTCAGATGACAACACGACATATTATGCCATGTCATGATTTATTTTACAAAAATAAAGCCAAAATGGAGAAGCTATGTGTAAAAAGCAAGGTACACCATATGATTAAATAGCTTGTAGCAAAAACCTTTAGCAGCAATAACTTGAAGTAATAATTTTATGTATGACTTTATCAGTCTCTCACATCATTTTGGAGAAATTTTGGCCCTCTTCTTTACAATGTTGTTTTAGTTCATTGAGGTTTGCAGGCATTTGTTTATGCACAGCTCTTGTATGGTCCAGCAACAGCACTTCAATTGGGTTGAAGTCTGGACTTTGACTAAGCCATTGCAACACCTTGATTATTTTCTTTTCCTTTGTCAAACATTCCGTTGTAGAGTTGCTGGTGTGCTTGGGATCTGCCCTGTTGCATGACTCAGTTTTGGCCAAGCTTTAGCTCTTGGACGGATGGTCTCAATTTGACTCTAGAATACTTTGGTATACAGAGGAGTTGATAGTTGACTCAATGACTGCAAGGTGCCCAGGTCCTGTGGCTGCAAAACAAGCCCAAATCAATACCCTTCCCCTACCATGCTTGACAGTTAGTATGAGGAGTTTGTGCTGATATGCTCCATTTGGTTTTTGCCAAACATGGTGCCATCCATTATAGCCAAACATCTCCACTTGGGTCTCATCTGTTCAAAGGACATTGCTCCATAAGAGTCTTGTGGTTTATCCAGTTACAATTTTGCAAACCTAAGCTACGCTGCCAAGTTTGTTTAAGAGAGAAGAGGCTTTCTCCTGGCAACCTTTCCAAACAAACCATACTTGTTCAGTCTTTTTCTAATTGTACTGTCATGAACTTTACCATTTAACATGTTAAATGAGGCCTGTAGAGTCTGAGATGTAATCCCTGGGTTTTTGCAATTTCTCTGAGCATTGCATGGTCTGACCTGGGGTGAATTTGCATGGACATCCACTTCTGGGAATATTGTCAACTATTTTGTGGAATGCCATACTTTAAATTGTTTGGAAATGGCCTTATAACCCTTCCCAGATTGATGAGTACCAACAATTGCTTCTTTGCAATAACTGCTGATGTGTTTCCTCCTTGGCATTAGCAAAATGCTAACACTTCGGCTTTTATAGAGGGGGTCGTTGATGATCAAAGGCATTTGGTTAGCAGCACCTGGCTGCTACTTAGCCTCTTAATTCCTATGGAAACTGTAAAGTTGTACAGTACTGCTACTTAGCCTCTTAATTCCTATGGAAAAACTGTAAAGGTGTACAGTACTTAGTTTTTCACACATGCCTTCTCCATTTTGGCTTAATTTTTGTAAAATAAATCATGACACAATGTAATATGCCATGTGTTGTTGTTCATCTGAGGTTGTATTTATCTAATTTTCAGACCTGCTGAGGATCAAATCATTTTTATTCTGTCCTGATATGTAAAAATCGTAGAATCCAAAGAGGTTGCACTTTTTTCTCCACATGACTGTATAAAATACATGGCAAGAACAATTTATGATCAGTTGCACAGGATATCCAAGAATAGAAAGTTGGATTCTGGACTTCCTTCAAATCCAAAAGCATTTTGCTTTGTGGATCCTGTAGTTATTTAGGAAAAACAAGGGGAAAAAATCACAATTGGACACTGCTGTGGCTAGTTCTGACTAAGTAAATCTACATTCACCAGCTAGCAAGCAGTTTTAGACATCACAACACACCTCGTTGGAGGTGGAACCTGTAGGCAGATTCAACAGAGACTTCTAATGTCTGAGCGTTCTGAGCCCAGAGGCTTTGAATAGTCAAAGCTAAGTTTTCTTAATATTGGAGTTAGGAAAGTGTGTGTGGGGGTGTCTTATAAATGGGTGTGTGTTATAGATGGAAAAATATGGCACATAAAGAAAATTCACCCTCTGCTTGCCAATAGCAATGCTTAAGCAAACAGTAGCATCCCATTCAGTATATGCATCATGGGATACTCATAGCTACTTAAACCTGAATCTTAACTTGTTTTTTGTAAGATTGTACATAAGAAAGCATTTTTCATAATTGATTTTAGGAGGAAGAGATATGTACATTTACCACTGTACATAAACGGTGAGGAAGTGGAGAGAGTTGGTAGTTTTAAATTTCTGGGTACTTACATCTCAGAGGACCTCTCATGGACTATAAATGCCAACATGCTAATGAAGAAGGCAAAGAAGAGGCTGTATTTCCTGAGAATGCTCGGCAAGTTAAATTTATCTCAGCATTTGCTTCTGTCATACTATCGTAGCACCATTGAGAGTGTCCTAACCTATGGCATTCTGGCATGGTTTGGGAGTAGCTCTGTAGCGGACAAAAAAGCTCTACAGAGAACCATTAAAATTGCCCAGAATATCATCGGGCTCCAGCTACCAACCCTGGATGACATCTTCACATCCCGCTGTCTAAGGAAATCACATAGCATCCTGAGAGACTCTTCCCATCCTGCTTATAACTTTTTTGAACTGTTACCATCTGGCAGAAGATATAGAACAATTAAGACTCGGACCACACGTTTTCTCAATAGTTTTTATCCCAGAGCTATAATTGCAATTAATAATCAGCTTAAAGACCACCAGTAGTGAATAATTAGTTGGACTGTGTAACTTGGCCTGCGGTGTAGATGTTTGTATTTTTAGTGGGGGACTTTTAGTGGGTGGGGAGTGTTTGGGAATTTTATGTGTGTGCATGTGTCTGGTCTCTGGGTGTCTGTGAATTTCGTTGTATGTGTATACACTTACAATGACAATAAATTATTATTATTATTATTATTATCCTTCTGAGGTAACTTGCAAGAGGTGAGGGAATCCAAGGGCGCTTTTATATTTGCTAAAGTTGGTTCGCTGTCCAACTCTTCCAAGACAGACAAGCACTCAATGTTATTTAGTGCCCCTTCACTTGCTACATTCTCTCTGGAATATAACTCAGCGTAGTGCTGCACCCAGCGTTCCATCTGCTGTGCTCAGTCCTGGATGATCACGCCTGTAGCAGACTTCAAAGGAGCAGATTTCTTCTGTATTGGACCTAAAGACTCCTTGACACCATCTTGCATTCCCTTGATGTTACTTGTGTCTGCTGCTATCTGTATCTGAGAGCAGAGCTGAAGTCTGTAATCATCTTTTTAGGGCAGACTTGTAAGCAGAAGTGTTGGGGCGGTCCTCGGTTAAGTTACCAGGACTCTGACTTGGCCTAATGAGGGAGCACAAGCTTCTAATTACTCTCTGTCCGACCAGTCAGTCATCCTTAGGGGATCTGATTGCTTACACCCACTATGCTTCCTGTAAATAAAGACAGCCTGTGTGGCCTTGAGCAAGCTGCACAGTCCCGGGGTAAACCACTTCTGAGTATTCCCTGCTTGGAAAACCTTGGAAAGGTTGCCATGACAGCATGGGATTATTTATTTATTATTAAGGGATTGTAAGAATTGCATTCAATTCAGCAGCCTCTGGAGGATAAAACATTCCCTGCCCCTGCCTTAGGCCATCAACGCCTGGAGCACTTATGCAAAGGAACTGGGAAATAGCCTGCCAAAAAAGATTCATATCTTATTCTCCTTAGTAACATTTTATTTATTAATTTTATCTCTCTCTCTCCCTGCCTTTCTCCCCCTGCCTTTCTTCTAAAAAAGGACCCAACACAGTTGAATACTGAGAGGTTAAGACCTTCCTCTTCTAGCAGGCATTCAGTCCTTGAATTTATTATTTAATTTTTATTGTTGGCTATTAATATTTTAAAATTATATTTTCATGTTGTTTTAATCAATTTTTATCTTTTTGTTTTTAAATCCATTATATTTTTGATTTTTTACCTTTAAGGGTGATTAACTTAACTATTTAAGCAAAACATTTCAACTTCTGTCTTCTTCAGTTGTTTGTTCAGTTTGTTTTTTATATTTCTAAACTACCCAGTTCTAAACTTCCTAAATTATAGATGCTTTTACAACTGCAACGGAGAAAGCAATAAATATTTCTGTTCATATCTGATGAGAGCCAGTGAACATCTGAGATGTATGCCTTGTGTTACTAAATGAAGAGACATCCTTTTCCAAATTAGATACTAATACAATTTCTGCCACCCATGTTCACATATAAAAACAAGAATTCAGAGAATGGCATTTAAAAAAATAAAGTAATTGCCCACAAAATGAACTAATTCTCTCTCTCTCTCTCGTATATATCTAGCTATCCAAAGAAAACCTTGAATTTTATGAAAACCTTATCATCTCTCTAAGTAATTTAGCAGGCCACATGCGAGTCCTAATAAATCCAGCAGTGATTTTATATTAGAACTCTGTCCTCAATCATCTTCCCAGTTCATCCTTCACCATGATCAACTTCAGAAGCGCAACAGGTTCATTGATTTTCATGTAATACACAAAAACATTACATTTGCTTAATTGTTACACAGTGAGAGCACTGAGCAAGAAGCCAAACATCAATTAATGTAGCATGTAGCATTGAATTCTACTAGATCAATACAGTAGTTTGTCAAAGATGTTCTCCATGGAAGGGGCCCTTTCATTGTACGGACAAGGAGTTATGTTGCCTCCACTTATTGAAAAACAGGTAAGCAAAGTCAGCACTCTCCATTAGCAGAAATCAAACAAGCTGCAGCTAGTGAAGAAGACACTTCAAGAAAAAACTATATTTATAGAATGGTAATTTAAAAACATTTTATCAGCCTTTTGTTGAGACCAAACCTTTGCAGCAAATTATTGACAACATCAAGAGCAATTAATGAGCAGTATTTGACTCTGAACTTAGAAGCTTATTTAATTTTGCTTGCTGAGAAAATCAAATCTATCCAATGCAGTAAACTGCTAGACACTTTTATTATGAATGAAACTTAATGTTGCACACTACTATTCCACTGTTTAAGCTGTTTATTTCACACGTGCATACTACTAATTTACTAATGAATAAACGAAACTGGCTGCATACCCATAGCTGGGTACCAGGCTGCAGAGGCAGGTGTTGAGACTTCAATTCTCCACGGTGCCTCCTGGGAGAACAGTCAGCCTGGGCAAGTTGCACAGTCCCAGAGTACTCCCTCCCCAAAACAGCAAACCACTTTCTTCCAAGTACTCTGTATCTAGAAAAGTCTAGAAAGGTTGCCACAAGCTGCAACTGACTTGATGTGATAGCTATACTGAGACATTTCTTTGGTTGCAGACTTAGCTACAGATGATTTTAAGCCTCATTCATCCTTACATTGAGTCAAGTACATAGTATTATCTGACTCCAATGAGAACTGCAATATATTGCTGGATTTCAAAACATCCCATGTCCAAAGGTTTTTGTATGTGCAGAATCAAGAATATTCCACTACACTCAAACAGCAAAAGACGTAAGACACATGTTTATATGAAGGAGTTTCTTCTGAATAGTTTTTACCCCTACTTCTTAGTAAATAATTTAACCCACCCCTTTCTGATTTAAAACAATGAAAACTTTGTTTTGAATACAATAAATTACTAAACAACCATATGTCCAGACAAGAAACAGTGAAAGAATGAGGACATTTTTTCAGACCTTCAGACGTATTATATCAAAGTAGACTGCAACCTGCAGATCCATTCTTTTATTTCTGTTCTGAGGTGGCAAAAATCAAATTGCTTTGCTGCAATTTGCCACATCAGTAATATTTCTTGAAACCAGTTCTTTAGTACATAGCACCTTCATCTTCTTTATTCAGAAAGTAAATAGTAATTGGACCGTAGTGTGTATGAACAGTTTCTGTGACATTGGCAAGGAACCAGGAGCCAATTCCATATAATAACGTTGGGATACCTATTTTCAAAAGAAGGGAAAATAATGAGAAACAGGGATCAAAGAGTAAAATCTCATTTGATTTGTTACAATAGAAACAGTATATGAATAAGAACAGAGAAAAATGAAACACAGGAGAAAATCAGCGTCAGGTGAGGATCTAATGTACTCAAAATGGAAAGCTGCCATAGTGCTCCTTCCAACGTTCCCTCTTATTTTCAGCCACACTGGGCAGGGCTCTGCCCCTCATGCGCACAACTCCACCCCCCTGTGGGGTTCCCTCGTGACTGGAACCAAAGGGGCTAAAAACTATCACTGTGGGTGCACAGAGCAGGAGGAGCCTTGCGTGGAGGGGGGCAGAGTACCACATGTGCACAGTTTAGAGCAGACCTGGGCAAAGTGTGGCCCGAGGGCCACATACGGTCCACGACCTGCTCCTGTCCGGCCCGCCAGTCGTTGCTCCAGTCCGGTGTTCAAGCACTTGTTCAAGCCCAAGACAGACTGGATTTCTCTCACTGAACAAGTCGAACATCAAAACCATTTATAGCTTTTTGTCTAAAGCTGATCAGCTGCTTATCTTTTACTTTTAAGTAAAGTTGGTTCAGCCCCCAAACACAGTTCAGATTTTTCATGTGGCCCCCTACAGAAATTAATTGCCCACCCCTGGTTTAGAGGGAACCTTGGCTCCTTCCCCATGAGGAAATGTAGCACTGCTCCCACTATGTTACTTTTTCTTGTCCTGGACATGATGTTACAAGAAGGGAGGATGCAGACATAGCAGCTGCAGAAATCAGTCCCTCCCCCTCTCCCAAATGAGCAAGGCATAACCTGAAAGGCTAAATTAAAAGACTATTTTGCTACAATTTAAACCCAACCTAGTTCCACAAGGAAAAAAACATAAAACATGTTAAGGGATAACCTATGATCTATATCAAAAGATTTTCAGACCACTCTCCAGACACTATTATTTTATTTCTTGTCCAATTCTCTTTGATTATATATTTGGATCCCATTTTTAAAAAGAAATGATAAATGCCTTGAAGAATAGAATCCTAAAACAGAGTATATTGTGATCCTTGTGTATTTATTACTTATGCCTACTTTTTGCACATGTCCAACACAAAGATATTCTAGTATTATCTGCTGCTATAGACAATCCAATGTTATGCATTTAGACAGGAAAACTTGAGGATATTATTAAATATCCTAACTGCAGTTGACAGAAGCATACAGAGAAAACAAGGAGACTGTCTTCTTCTGGGTAAGCTTGGTCCCCAGATGTCCTTGGACTGCAACTCCCATAAATCCTGTCCAGCTGGTGGTGGAGTTTTACTCCAAGAATATCTGGGGACCCAAGGTTTGGAACCACTGGTGAGGATGAACTAAGGAGGTTTCAAGAGTCCATATTCCTTATCTATCCTCAGTTATGTCAATTTTTTGCGAAAACATGAGTTCAATTTCATGGGGGTATTTCAAACCGAAGTAAAAATCACGTTCTTGCAGGACCTTCCATACAGCGTTTTTTTCTTAAATACAGAGCTGTATGTTCCAAGCCATCACTCACCAAAGTTTATTATTTTAAGCGTTGAGAAGAAGCAGTTCTGCAATGCCAGGTCTTGGTGGGGTGCCCGGGAACAGTGGTACTTGATGAAGGGGAAGCAACCAGTCCGCAGGATGTGGTAGTTCGTCCCTTTCACCTCCCAGTTGAAGTTGGACAGGCCAAACTGGTCGTTGTCCACCGAGCTGTACTTGACGCAGAAGGAGGTCCAGTGGGGGAGGCCCCTCTGCAGGAGGTGCCGGCTCAGCACCTCCGAGGCCTTGGGCTTGCCCGCCGACCCTCCGGACAGGAGGACCAGCCTGAGGAGACNNGGCGGGAGGGCCAGCTCCGCTTCAATCTCCGCCCGCCTGTCAAAGTCTCTCTTTCTCTCGCTCCCTTTTCCCTCCTCGGGGATTTCTCCTCAGGGGGCGCCGAGGCAGTTTTCCTTCAGAACCTAGTCGCTCCCTTCTCCCCCCTCCCCCG